TACATATATATACAAGCCTAACACTGTCACTTCACAAGCAATGATGATGTCACCTCGAGTGTTGATGAACCACTTACAAACTAGTTGCCAAACTCGGTGAACAGGCGAAATGGAATACATATATATTCTCCAAAGAGTCTTTTCTTGGTTACCAAATTTGATTTGTACAGATATCGTGCTCCGCATTATCACGTTTGATGTGGTTTTACTTGTTTAGAATCAGTCGATTCCAGACTGATATGAAATCCCTTTGTTTAACGGCATAACTTATTCTGATGTTCAACAATCTAACTTCAATCAATAGGGTTTCGGTTCATATCCCTACTGAGGAGATCTCCTTTTCTCGGTCCACGGAAGAAATAACCGCCTCCTGCTGTTTGTCGGTCATCACAGACATGCATCGCTCACTCATTCATCCACCTTTGTTTGGCATTGTTTAAGGTAACTATTTATGGCATTCAAGCCTCTTAATCAATTGCGGGGATAGCTTGAGGAAACTGAATATATAGGATGGAAAACAGCATTTCTCGCACCACCGTTTATCAGGCGAAATGTTTTTTTGCTGTTTTATTACTCATGAGAGGAAACCAATGTTTGAAATGGTAAACTAACTCCTTATGTTCCTTCAATAACATTCAAATTGACTTATTTCAAATAAGTGTTGTTTAGATTGCATGATGGTCAAGTGCATCGTATCTAATGATTTGAAGATTCTCCGATACTGTATTTACCTTCCCACATTCGGACAAAAATAGCCTATTCTTTACGCTTTATACTTGCGAGCTTCGGTAAAACTACCAAAGAAACCGTCCTTTATCAAAACAAATGAGCTGAATTTAATGAAAATTTCTACGTGGATTTCACAATGTGAATTCAAGTGTTTATAGTCCTGTTTTTAACTTTTTCGCAACAGTAAAATTTTGAAAGTTATTATGCGCGCGATAACTTGTGTTTTGAAGCGGACAAACTCACATGAGCCTTATAGACTTCACCAATATGCAGTCCATAGTTTTCATGTTCGATAGTTTTCATTAACACTTTGGTTAGGCTTAAAACTTCGGCCACATTGCTCAGTGGATGTCTCTCGAGGTCGAACCAAATGCGAACTTTGGCGCAAAAAGGCTTCTCATATACCGTATCTAGTTTGCAGAATATCGGATAAGCCATAATAGGACCCTCGTAGGAGTAAAATTGATCCATCTGAATAATTGATGAAGTCATTAAAATAATAGGAGAGAGATACATGAGTGATTGCGCAAGTGTAAAAACGATACAAAATAGAATTGTCATTAAATTTAGATTATAAAGATCTTTCGTAATTTCAAAAAGTAAAGCAATCAGAGCAGAGAAAATACAACCAATAAATGAGGCTCTAAAAGATGTTAGAGTGTGCATCAAAATAATACAATGCCAACTTTTGACCTTTTCAGATCTGGTTGGTTTTACACCAAATTATTATAAGGCGAATACTAACTTACTGAAACGACTTCAATAATTTCAGCACGGCTTCTACTGTATTAAGAGTGTTAAGAGAATATTCCCTCTGGTAGTCAAAGTAAGTAAAATAGTTTTGTGCAGTTATTACAATGATAGAAAGAAGTCATTTCCATGAGTGATTATCCTAGTGTATTTCTAAACGTGTCACGTATTAAAACTTTTCTCCATTCTGCTTCTTCAAACAGGTACGATGTAATTTTCTTTCCCAAGGTGCCAAATTACGTTCCATTACGATTTTTACACAATAAGTCTAAGTCAACCAAAACGATTCACATCAGAGTACTTTTAGTGAGAGCGGCTGAACATGAACAAACTCCATTACTGTTGATAGCTCACAATACTTCTTGCCACAATTTGAATTATCCGGCTAAAAGTATACTTTGTTTAGTCTGGTACTAATTAACACACAAGAAACTGAATGGATCTTCAAGCGATCTTCAAATCATACTCTTTCTGCAAGTAATTTCTTTTTTCCTCCTTAATCCAGAGATATTCCAGAGGGCAAGAAAGATAAAACGAGCTGTTCTGTATGGCCTTTCTGTCTGTCTCTCCAAAGAGTAATTTGTTTCATCAACTCTAGATAAATGGTAACGCACACGCCTTCCATACGATGGGTCCGAATTTCAATGCCCGGAGGGGACGGTGGATAAGCACTACTGATGAGCTCTAATAAGAGCGAAACTCGAGTCTAGTACGTCCGAGTGTATGGTTGACGGGGAGAGCTGAGGAATATGCGTTGATTCTAAAGGATGATCAGTTATAATTGTTCAATCACGAGAAACAATCGGTTGACGAGAGTAAAATAACCAAAACGTTTGAACTTACATGTTCACAAATTTTGTCACCCAGGTAAATTCGTTGCGCGGAGAAGGGACTTCCATATTCCGGTTTCCATTCAGCCGGTTTATCTTTGTCATACACTCGGCCGACTATAAAAGTTTCTTTAATCAGAGGAAAAAAGTACTGAACTTAAAATCCCGTTGGAAATTATGAGGTTTTACAAACTGGAAAGCGAATGTAGTCACAGAATGGTTTGATTAGTATGTACACCTCAGAAATATCTCTTGAATCATGGCAAGAAGCTTGTGGAATGATTAGACATTTGTTTGACCGCATGATTTTCTCATTAGTACTTACAGGAGTTTCCTTTTAAAATGTTTTCAGTGTCATGTTCAGTCACCGCTTGCACAAAAGCTGTCTGACCAGGGGTTATACTTAATCTCTTGTTTTGGAATGGAAAAGTTTGTAAGTAAGGTCTTCCCCGTCCATAATCTGACGTCCAAGCAGGATCGAATCATTTTCGAACTTTTATATGTAAACGGTTTTCAAGCCTTCTGTGATGAGATTATTAGATACCATTTACAAGTAGTTTTCCCTGAATGAGTCAGCATACTTGCTGAGATTATGATAATACAGTACAATAAGAGTAGAATTACCTGAAAAAATATTCACGAGAAATTTATCAGCGAAGTCATCAATGCATTCAATTAAGTAATCATGGTTCGTCAAGCATATACTCTGCTTATTAACGGAAGTTTCTAGTTTCCCGTTTTAAAGTGGCATTTATTATCTCTGGACTGACTGGTTGCATCTATACATTTCTATCCAGAGATTTACATATAAAACTATTCCGATCGTTTTAAAATTATTTCACACAAAATATACCAATCATGTTTTACCAGCATTCAGTGTTGGTATTTCTCCGGAGTTCGTCAAACTTATTAAAATCAAAGTAGAATAAAATAGATTACTGTCTCATTTTTGTGGTTTAATATGTAATATATATATATCCATAAAATGTAGTAACCACATTCAGCCAGCTATTGAATTTTACAAGTATGAAAATAAATCAATAACCCGCCTAGTGTCCGAATATTTTGCAATTTAAGTTCAACCCAATCCCCAGGACAAGGAATTCATACTTACCGGTAGAATTCGGCGGATCTGCCAAGGTGAAAGCTGAAAGCAGAGAAAAAACAAGGGAGGAGAATGTTCTCAATGGAAAACAGCATGTGAAAATAAGTGCTAGAGCCATTTAAACTAGTCCGATATAGTTTCTCGTTTACTGTACTCGTATAAGTTATCAGGTCTCTGGATTTAACAAAAACTTACAAAGGTATAGGTATAAATAAATTATTACTGGTTCTATCATGACCGATTGCGGCAGGAAAATGTAGGCAAATTTTCCGTGTCTTTTCCCTTTTCTGTCCCAAGGTGATTGTCCGTGACAAGTCAGATAAACCAGTCGGTTATGTGAAATGAATTGATTATTTTACAATGAGTCCCATTGAGTGGAGGATAATGATTGGATCGCATTGTCCAATAGTCTTTCTAATGGTCGATGGAACTTTGTCCAAAAATACTGGCAGGGGCCCAATCCATATTATGCCCGTGGGAGACAAAACCCTGTGATCACTTTAAGTATGGAATCCTGAGTGGTTTTGGAGTACCATATAAACGTATAATTTAATTTCTTCAAATTTAGCTCTTAAAGTATTGGTATATTAGTGAGGCAGTTGAAATAAAATTCCATAAAGTATCCTTTAAGTAAATAGTCCGGACTTTCCCTTGTACTTCCAAGTCCAATATCGCTTCACGGTTTGGTTTTCCACATGTCATTAAATATCAACTTCTTCTCGTCCATAGCCTTTGGTTTTTCTACCATCTGCTCGATTTCAATTCAGTGATTAGTTCTTGTCATTCCCAACAACAAGATGAATCTTCTTCAATGAAAAGAGACGGAATCCCCGTAAGTTATTGTTCCGTTTTACATAAGTATTCGTCCATTAGATAGCTAAATTCCCTCACCCCATGGGAATTTGCATGATTGGACCAGACAACCTTGAAACCCTTCTTAATTTCTTATAAATTACAGTATAAAGCAGCCATTAGAGATAGAACCGTGTGACTCATATAACCACCTTAACAGCATGAAATAAAATATTCAAGTCACGTGAATAATGCGGATACAAACCCAAAATCATAGAATAGAGATCATCAGCAATGCCAAACACATCCACATGAACTGGAATAAAATGGGTCAGAGCAGTTGAGAATTTCACAGAACTTATTCAAAATTGAGACTTGTCCACCGTGATAGTAAGATGCGCTTTGCGTTTGTTCGATTTGATCAGTAACATTAGATTGCAGCTAAACGTAACCTGATGATTTGTGTGTCCAAGTGATCAAGCCTGCTGTGCATAATGTCCGCCTCAGTCACTTATTTATTCGAGCACGAAACGTTTATGGGTACGAAGAATAATAGCTGATGGCACACCTTCTGGAATTTCACCTTCGACAAAGACCAAAAATACCCCCGCCGAAAAGGAGTTTGTTCAGGGGCTTCATGACTTTAGTTGATAAGCTTAATTCAATAACTGTATTCTAACACTATCTAGTCGACAGGTCATAGGATACCCTCCTATCCCCATGTGGCTCATCGGGATAAGAAGCAATCCAAAACTGTAGTGAAGTGGAGTACCAGGCACAAACCTGTAGGTTTCGGAAATCTGATTTCGAGAATCTTCCGGATGAGGGATGAGGATGATCGCATCGGATCATTTGAGACGTATTTGCCCGTCAGATATCTGAGTACCAGGCCTTGAACAGGAATCACGGAGTACGACTTTGTTGCTTTTTTAGGTTCCAGCGAAGGATGTTGTGAACTGACCACTCAGAAAACCAGTTGGAAAACCTTCTTCTTCATCCGTTTGGTACTTTACTTGAACCCAAGTTACATAAGAGATCCTCTGTGTCTCTTAATGTAGATATATCAGTGAAGATGTCCAAAGATTGACAAGGAACTAAGCAAAGATGTACATCTGAAGTGACCTTCCATCTTGCCGAATTCATGGTTTGCATGCACCATCAGTTAGGTAGAAAAGTTAATGTTAAGGGTCCGTGGAACTCTCAACATGATAACATGCTGTCTTCAAAGTATAGGTACCCGAGGCTACATTAATTAACACACTGAATCTTTCAGATCATCATCAGGTTTCATTTTTAAGTGGCTTACACTCGTGATGTCACCGCTGCGTGTTGTGTAGTATCAGTGGTTCACTTTGCGCTATACGAATTGCGGCTGGACAGGAACCGAATAAATCGCCAACGCAAGTTTATGTATATGCACGTTAGTTGCAGCTGATTCGAGGCGACTTCTCCTAAATGTGGAATGGAATTCTCTCAACAAACCCAGTTCTCTCTGATTATCAGGGTTTTTAAAGCCCAAGTAGGATTGTTGGGCAAATAGAAGAATACTTAAAGTGATCCACTTGTGGTCAAATATAACCTAAGGGACAAAGCGGAAGTTTTCAACTGTAAGTGTAAAATGGAAAATGCCTCTGAACAATACCAAGTAAAACGTAATAACAAAGTAGTCACATGCTGTCCCGCTCATAGTTTTTAGCCTTGGAACAAAAGCAATTGCAGTGGGTACCACTTGCGTGAATTCGTTGCAAGTCACTGTTCTCTGTAGTCAGCAATGTCACGCGCAAAGCGCATATTTGTACTAACCAGATTCGGCTATGCTGCTGGTACTAAAGCCGCATCAAACCCACTGAGAACCGGTGTTCACTGTTCACTTAAGATCGGAGTTGCATCTTTGATTTGGATGCATCTGGGTTTGGTCGCCTGTGTGCAATCATCTCTTGATGGACCCAACAAAACCCTGAAATAAAACCATTTATTGGCCGGTCGGTAACACGATGTACTCTGATATGCGGTCGAAGCACAGTGGGCTTTCTTGGCCTTCTTCATCGCACTAGAGTTTTACATAATCTTTCATCTTGAATCCAAGTGAGAGACAATGAACAGTGATTCATCAAATACCAGTTTCTCAGGAGTAATAGAGACAATGACAAAACAGAAAGAAATACAGGAGAATAATGAACTTTGGAAGAAATCCAGACATTTCCATCTAATCAGAATTGGATATTCGCAATAACCAGGTGTGAATAGGGTAATTAAAGAATTATACATTAGGCATTTTAATCCCAAGTATTGCTTTTTAAAAAGATAGGCAGAAGATTTTAGGTTTCAGTTAAGTTGCACCTCATTGGCATTTAGTTTCCTCAGCGATGCTCAGCTGCTTTGTAACAACCGAAGAAAAGCAAATAATACTGCAACCATTACAAAACAATATATATATGCTCTGCCCGAATAAAGATTATTCAGACAATAAATAACCTGAGAAGAACGACGCGTCTTAACCTCATTGTAAGTTTCCATCAAATTTTAAGGATAAGGCCTAGAACTAAAACACCGAGCTTTCACCATTAGCTGAATTTCTTAATCCATTACTGGTGACAGAAAGCAGTTCTCGGGATTAGGCTGAATTGGTAATGCTGATGAAGTCAGAGAAAAGCAATAATTCCACTTGCGAAAACTAGCAAAGAAATGGCTTTTTAAGCATTATCTCTCACTGGGATTACATCCCGTGTGGTGTTAATTGCGCATAAATAATTCGCTGGTGAGATTCAAGTTGAAAACTTTGAATCCCTTCGAGGTTTTGCAGAAACGGTGTGTTCACGCCTGGTCAAATTTTCAAATAGAGATACCAACTTTCTAGACAGACTTTGACGCTTCATAGCCGGAACGCAAGTTGCCTAGGGAGTATTCGGAAAAAATATCTGTACAAAATGTCTTATATTACGTTTACTTATTTAAACCGGCTGGCATATCCACAGTTTCGGTCTTTACTGATTACGCTTTCCTTACCATAATATTACATTTCATTTGTATTAAATATGAAATATAAAATTTGTTAGAATTTTTCTTTAAATCCTTCGATACCTTCTGTATTCCTACAACACACCCTTTTACCTCTCCTTGAAGAGGTGGTTACTTCCCCTTCATCCCGTTCCCCTTAATATACTACCTCAAAAACCACCAATAATTCACCCGCCTAAAGAAGGATATGTAATCTGTGTAACTCTAATAACAGTCGAGTTAGCGTTGGTTCTACGTGGCAAAATTCTCTGATTTTTTTGTAATTTTGGTAATTGTTCATTGTTTCAGATTCCCTACCTATAAGTATCATCTGTGTACAACCCGATAGCGATGCTTCCATTTTATGAAAAATACAAAAGAATACTACGAATTGCCGATGGATTCATAAAGTTCAACCGGTCAAATGCTCTTTCTAAATGCACAGATGCCGTTTTTTGTCTTGTTGAATGTTATTCGGCACGAGAAGATCGCCTATGCATTTTTTGAAATATTAGTGTATGATAAACGTTTAATTCGGGTTATTGCTGTATATATCTCGGCTTGATCATATGCGTTCGCTATTTTATCTTAACTTGTCTGCTTTCATGCCTGACACTAATTGAAATGAACCCAAACCCCATTTGATAATATTATTGTTTATGTTCATCTTTTCTTGTTTACTTTTTATCCACTTCAATTATTGTTCAACCGTGATTGAAGAAAGAAAATATTTAACTTGATTTGAAGACGATATCCTTCAACTTATGATACTTGATACAGTTTTTCAGGTTAAAACATATTCACTTATTACCTCCCCACGAAATTAATTCTGTCGCTGAAAGAAAAAACACCTCAATTGTTTTTACAACACTCCAAACCCATTGCTCGTTCATCTCTGAAGTAAACTGCAATTTTTGGGTAGTCTTTCAAAGTTTATCACCCAAATGTTTTGTTGCGGTGGTGTATCGGGGGACAACTCGCAAGTTCAATCGAGTATTTCATTAGTTTTCGGCATGTGACTTCATTTACTCTCCCCTCAGGTCATCTAGAGTATTCATTTTGACTTGACCTCAGCACTTTTAAACAGTTGTATACGTGTACAAATTTATACGGATAAATATTACACAGAAATTTCCCTAAAGCACACGTAAAACAAGAATAACTGTCCCATATTTGTAATCATTTGTATTGGCACTACTTAACTTCTCTTGGCTTATCGCATTCCCCTAACCCGGAATTTAGAACGTGGATGGATGTACCCCAGTTTCATCTACTTGGGCCATAACAATGATGCGAGTGTCGTGGCCGAATCGTGTGATGTCGAATTCTAGTTGTTTAGACTATAGATGTTGTAGTGATAACAGGAGAATGATGTTGATTAATTGTCATTATTCCTTCTAGCAACGAGTGATTTCACTGGAGACCCAAATGATTTTAATGCATTTGCCTTTCTTCATTGTAAATAACTGAAAGCGAATAAAATCAAACAACCGAGCATAATTTGTGATTCCCAGCTCATTATCCTTCATTACTCACATGAAATAAGTAGTCAGGTTGTGAATGTTTTCAACCGAGTCATAATCCCGGAGGTTGGTGCTGAGTGAGATAAGCAGGGTCCGTTACCCGCAAGAAGCTCGCGAAGATGGGTTGTGTTATATCGTGTAAATGGAAAATGAAAAACGGTCTGATCAGTTGCCCGGTGGCCGAATGGGTAACATGCTTGCGTTCCGACCATGAAGTCCCGGGTGCGATCCCCAGTTTGGTCGATGGATTCGCACTGCTGATGAGAACCAACCTGACCGAAAAAGCTGTCTAGTGCTTCCTGGCTTTTCAATTCACGCTTCATTTTGCTATATACACAAGACGAATTCCTATTTGAAATTTAATCAACTTCTCAATTACTCACATTAAATGAGTAATTTATTGCTAATAACTGATCCCCGGCGTTTTTCATACGTGTATACAGAGAGATCTACGAAGGTGGGAAATCGTTTGGGCCTAGAACCATTTCGCTACATCCCACCATTTTGCATACTGCATAAAACTCAGTGTGCAAATAGGGGTTAAGTATGGCTAAACAGGAAATTGAAAGACAATGAAACGCACACATACAAAACGGGGGAGGCGAAGAGGAGGATCATGTTTCCAGTGCAAAGACACTCTAACTTAAAGTTCCTTTCGTTGACACAAAAAGGGTTTCCATTGAATGATATCAATCGCTTTATCAAACCTTAGCAATATTTGCGATTCGCGACTTGCAGCCAATACGAAACGTCATTCTTCCGTTGACCTAATATTGCGTGATCAGAAAATGTAAAGCTATGGCTGATGACGGGGTCCTGTAGTTTCGAAAGTCGGGTTTATGCGGCGGACTTCGAGTGCCTATTGAACGTCTTTTTGAATGTAGTCTAACACCTGAAGTTTTGAATGTTCTATACGACTACGTCTTTCATGGAACCCAGTTTGCTTCGTTTAATTGCCCAGTCGTCTTCTATTAACATCGATTCTGGTATTTTTAGGGTGGCATTTTGTCTTCTTTCTGCTCTTCTATGTGCACAAAAAATCACCCCACTTCGATCAACTTTATTGTTTGCCAGTATGCTAATGATATTGCATTTAATTTCCCATCCCCTAATCAAGACAGTTTTCGGCCTCTCCAGGACAGTGTCAATGAACTTTACGACTGGTCTGTGCTCCGACCTCTTGCACTCAACAGCAATGAATACACTGACATTCCCTTTTATGTTAAAACCAGCTCCTACTATCTTGCATTGGTAAGTAATCTTTTTGACCTTCAAGTTACCAATCGAAACATCCATAGATTTTGTTTTTGTTAAATACCTTGGTGACATTATTAATCATAATTTTTCCTGTTCTGCTCATGCCATTTACATTGTTACAATAGCTTGAAGGTTGTATTTTTTATGCATACAGGCACAGGGAACTGGCCGTCCCACATAGTTTTATTCTTAAATCGGTGTTTGCATGCCTCCACACTGGTTATACTTCTCCCAGATATTTCTACTCAGTTTTAAAGAAAATAGATTTTATCTGGTTCTCCCGATCCCTTTCAATTTTACAGTGTTATTGATAGATTTTGTTTTTGTTGAGTTTTTAATTGTCATCAACACAAGATCACGGGTACTGTCTGCATCACGAACTCTAGAAAGTCTTTTCAAATCCCCGAACTCGCTCCAACTACCAACTCAGCGCATACTTCCATATACAGAAACACTGCAGTTCTATACATTGCGTGGCTCTTGGTTAATAGTAATCTCAATGAGAGATGGCATTCATTTGTTTCATTCATTTACTATTGTATCAGATTTATTTTTTTTAGATCCTAATTTGTCTCATCTATCTACTGAAGAATTTCGCAAACGGCTGAAAATTTACCCTTTGGGTGCAAGAAGCATTTCTCGACTTGATTGTGAATTGAAGGTTCGGTGCTACTCCTAATTTTGGAATGGAGGCCACCGGTCCTTTCACAATTCTCGGTTTGCTGTGATTATTGATGAACGCTTCGGGGTAAGCGTTTCTGGCTAACATCTAACGAAGGTCTTGTAATTCCTGATTACTTTTATCTTTCGTGCAGATTCACTTTGTTTTTTAGATGACGTACAAACGAGACCCGGTTTAGACTCCCGAACCTCGAAGATCTCGAAGCCTATCCAGGCCTATCCAGGTCTGATTTCGATAAACAGTTTTTTCTTTTGAAGCCGAGTTCGAGAGAGGCTTGTTTCAGTTTGCTCAAATCCCGTAATCAGGTGGCATATTGTCCACAGCAATAACTTTGGTATTTGGTTTTTGGATCCTGATGAACGGGTATTGACTGCATTCCGAATCCATATGACCTTCAAAGTAATGTTCTTGGTTACCATGACCTTTGGAGTGTTTCATGATTTCAGTGTTCTTCTCTAAACAGCTTTTATCGATAGCGCTTAAATACTAACGAATGAATACTACACTATAGCTAAGTATGGCAAACAAAAGCAGTAATGAACAAGGAAAAGTGGACTTTTTGTTGGCATACTGTCTAGAAATAGGAATAATTTGAAGCATATCCCCGGAAAGTAATGCAAACCGTAAAGCTTCTTTGAATCTGTATTGACCTCAGAATAGTAAAACCAAATATTCTATTTGTATACATTTATCGTGTTCCGATTTTCGACTAAGATTAACCTACTCCAAGGACTACGCGTATATAGTTCGATAACTCATGCCACGATGTTGTGTATATCAATTTACCCCCCCCTCCTTAATACCGTTTAGGATAGCAGGCGAGAGTAAAAGCCGTTGCTATCTCCTCGAAATGCTGAGGCGATGATCCCTGTTAGAATTCGCACTATTTTACGCTGCATTCCTAATCCCAAAACTTTCATGGCACGTTATCGCCGACCCCTGTGTGTGTTTCACTTATCTACCCGCGCACCTAGTGTTTGAGCTTATTTTTGCATAATCCACATGTCATGGACTTTTTATGGGCAGTGTCACTAAATGCACTTTTATTGATACGTCGTTCCGGTTGATCAAAATAAATTCGTTGTTTACCTCCGCTTCATCACCACTTTGCTGACCTGTCCGTCCGTTCGACGCCTGATTCTTTACTTATATATCGTACGTTCGACCTTGGAATTGCTCTCTGTCGGTCAATTTTCTTAGTTATGATTTACTTACCTAATTAAGCGGGAAAGAATCTGCCACGGTCCATCTCTACCAGTGTTACACTTATATTTGGACCAACGATGATGAGCAATGGTTCATTGCAGGGGTCGAATCCCCACCTAAACTGCTTTCATTGTCCTCTCCCCTCGTCAGTCGCACACTCCTCGTCCGCTGGTCACACGAGCTCGTGTCCCGCTGGAATGACACTAATTCGTGAATAACCCAAACCAACCCTATTTTGAGTGGTTCAGACAACCCCTGTGGCCGTACCGTTATGTTTTGTTTGCACTGATGTTTGATCTGTTTGCATATCAATAGAGAATTGCATTTGTACCGAATCCAATTAGTTGCTTTTGCTTGGGTTCACTTTGGATCCTGCGCGTATCTATGTCGACAGACTCAAAAAGGTACATGTACGTTTTCAAGGTTCATACTTTGAATAGTGAAAAGAATGGTAGTTTTCCGTGAGATTCGAACCCTGCACAGACGGTTGCCAAAAACGTACAAGCGACTAGGCAGCGAGGCGAAATCGACAGTTTCACTACTCTCATACTTCATAACTCAACTAACAACAAGACATTTTCTAAATCTCACTCCAAATATGTCTCTCGAGACTCTAAAATGCACGTGTGACAAAAGTCTTTCTAAAATGAAACGATGTTTTTGATGCATGTGCTGCGGTGCGATGCGCAAAGTAAATACGCTTAGGTGTGCAAGTAGTGCTTGTGTGTGCGTGTGTGTGTGAACCAGGACGATTCGGTGTCTGTTAGAAAAGAGGTAGTTCAATCATCGATGGCGGTATCAGTGTCACTATAGAAAATGTAAACAGTCACACAATATATAAATTAGGTAGCTCGTGCGGAGTATTTTCAAAAACAACACTAAATCGATAAAAAAGAGAGGATTTAGATCGAATTCAAGAAAGTTGTCTGTAGCAAAGAAATCACGAAATTGTACCTGAAACAAGGCAGAACGATTAGCGCTCTAACCGGGTACACACTATGATTTGCAACACAGAAAGTTTCCGGTAAAGGTGAGTGGCATCAAACCAGTATGAGTTAGGAAATTGCACAGCGGCTGTCACGTTCAAACTTAAGGCAGACATTATCTCGCAGGCTTTTTGTGTCCCCCAAGTACTCCATTTTATAGTCACGTACTCTAGTTTCGACCACGGATATCGGTATGCTGTATGCGATTGTCTTCTTTTTCAATTGAACAATAATCTAAGAGGAACATAGGAAAAAGGAGAGAGAGTTAAAGAATATTAGTCTTATTCCCATTCATTCAATTTAGAACATAATCTTGGCTTATTATATAGAGTGATGCAAAATATAATTAAATAAGAGGTTATTAGTAAATGAAGAGCGATACCGTAAACAAAAAACTAAATTTGAAGTCCTTCTACGACGCAAAATGTTTTGGTTATGGAATAGTATTCGAGTCGTTCTGAGGCAACTTTAGGTCTGTATTTATGTGTTTATGCTTGTATTTATACGAATTTATATGCACATACATAAATACCAATCGTGAACACGTCAAAAATGATTGGGCGTTTTACAACAAATATAGTGAAGTAAAAAATATCTTGGTCAAATAGGTTAAGAGTAAAGAGTGGGATTTCAGGATTAGAAGAACAATATTAAGGGTTGTAAGTTACTTCCTCGGAACTAGATTGTTCTGACGGTAAGGTACAAAGTGAAACTATTATTTATTGGGACTGGAAAACGGTCTTACTTTCCCAAACACTAACTGTAAATTTCGTTTTCTATGGGAGCTAAAACATAACTATAGTAAATGAAAACATATGCAAATAATCGCTTTTAGTTCCAAACCTACATATGGGTATCTATGGGCTGATTACTACAGAGAAGCCATAGTTATCAACAGCATGAATACTGGTCAACCAGCTTAAACTACCCGTGAAACTATATTGACAGTCAATCTGTTTACTACCCTGATATCAGTTTAAAGCAGATCACGCAACAAAACGAATCCGCAAGTCCAATCTGCCTGATCTTTTGTCTCTAGATGTGGAAGGCCTGAATTCCAATCTATAGTCAGCACGTGCTGTAAATCCCCAAGATTTGTGCCCCTGGCAGCATACCTAGTGGCCGCAAAACACTGGGTACGGCTGAAGAGGCCCAAGAAGACCGAGAGATGCCAGGAATAGTCCTTTTGAACAGATCAGAAAATTTCAGGCAAATAAACGGCAATCTCATTGGTGTCAGGAACTTTCAGATTTATTTGGAAGAAAGATAGCAAATAAGTGTCGCTGTAAAAAAATGCTTCGGCACCTACAATAAAAGAAACTAATCAATACAAGCACACTAATAAATCAAACTAACTCAGTATTCCAGATCCTAAATAAGACATATGGAGAAGTATTACCTCTCAGACCTATCCCAGACACGCGTTTCTTAAATAACCATATAAAAATGAAATGGTTTGGAGCGGATCTGGAACCCCAGAGGAGAAAGGCTTGCTGATTGCACATACAAAGCGTTTCATATGACTTTGCATCAAGATTTAATGACTTAAACATAAACGGACCAAATAAAACTAACGTCAAGTGATATCTCACGATGTCAGGTTTCTTTTCAAAGGCGTACCCACTAATTATTGAATTAATTAATGAATAAATATCTCCCAACATACATATTATTAGTTGCGAAATCGGAATACCAGTTGCTTATCCAAAGTAATTGCCTCATTTTGCATACGCAATTTTCAATTCAAATTAATATCAAATGTGATCGCAAAATAAATGGAAGAGCAATGCGGTCTCTCTTCAGTTCGCTTTTGGTAGATGTCTCAATGGATAAGCTGGAATATGAAATCCTCAATGGAACAACTGAAAATTCTGCGGTAGATATCGCAGATATATCGATATATAGATATATCGCAACAGTAGAGGATTCGATTTGTTTATCTCACGATTTCGTTGTGTAAGTGAGGCGTGAACTGGAAAGCTGCCAAGCGCTGGACAGGTGATTCGACCTGGTTCGGTCTCATCAGCAGTGCGAATCCATCGACTCAAACTGAATCTTGTTTTAGGGCTTTTGTTTTTCTAATATTTATTAATTTGTTTTTATGTTGTCTTGCTCAAAAGCATACAATAAATAGTAGTAGTAATGATAAAAATGATTAATGAATGTTGCTCAGTAACCTGAATAACTTCAAAGGTTAAACTGCAATTATTGACTGTTGGTTTTAGAATCTATTTCGACCAAACAGAAAAACTCTACAAACCCTTAATAAGTACAATTCTGTGGCTTGTTTTTCTCATTAAGACCCAACATTTCGACCAAATGACACTGCTTGAAAACAAATTTATGAAGATCACCATTTTATTTCTTACCAGCAAGGACCACTTTCAGGCTACAAATTCCTTAATGTTTTAAACAGCAGAAAACATCAGTTTCCAAAACAACCAAGTGCTCTTTGTGATAGATGCTACCAAGTGAAATACGTGTGGCTTCTAAAGTTCTTCAGACCTCTGGTATTTTTGGATACCGACTGGACTGTCATTCAGATTCCAAGAGCTGTTGCATAGACTTACCCGTGCATAATACACAACTCGGACTTGCTCCATGTTGATTTGTGGCACAGTTCTTGTGGGTATGTTCAAGGAGATTGTACAACCAGCTTTGCGCTTCTCCCATGGTACATCTGGTGGCGAGGTCAGCGTCGCTTCCGAGGAAATCTGATCGTCACTGTCGAGAGAGGATACATAAAATCCGCATTGCTGGACCGATTGATCCAGACGCTCAACTGATTTGGCTTCCGCCTCCGGACTGAATGGCGTGGCAAAGTCGGTTGTCATGGGAATCGGTTCCGTTTGATCTCTTACGACTACGTTATCGGAAAGCTTTTTGTCTTTTTGTGATGATTTCTCCACACCAATGTTCAAACAAGGTACGTGAAATGCTTGTAACAAAAATCCTCGGACGTGTTTTATCACTCCAATTTTATCGGCGAATAAGTAGAAGCGAATTGTGTCACCGTCCTGTACAGTCAAGCTCTCGGTCTGAATAAAGCATTCGGAATAACATGGAACAAAATCATGAGAAAAGTGCAACTAGCAGGATGTGGTTAAAAAAATTAGGNAGTGGTTGAGAGTAAACGCTGTGATTCTACAATAAAATTACGCGATGAATAATCCACACAGAACAAATAGTTTCTTGTACACAGTTATTCCCACAGACTGTGCACCAAGGACCTCCGTTCTACAAAGTGCAATAATTTCTGAGGATATTGCTTATTAGAGCAATGTGAAATGATCAAAGACATTACATTTGAAGTGTCTAAACCAACCCTTAATCGGTTCGCGCAACAAGTGGCCAGAAATCGAAGAAACATTCTACTTAACCAGCGAATCTTTATCTTTTGTTTTGAATCAAGAATCATAAGTGAACGTTCTTTATTGTTGACTTAATCATCAAATTTACCCGTTCACATAAATTGAAACCACTTATGTGATAGTTCCATTCAATTTCAGACACTTCATTGATGTTATAGTGAACTAAAATGTACACTGAGTCGAGGGAGAGAATGTGATCGCCATCAATTGTTAGTAAGTACTGATTAGCACAGGAACTCGTTCGAGCAAGTGAGAATTGATCAATGTGACGATCATGCTTGTGCATGAAATAAGAGGATAGACGTTAACCCAAACCTTGACATTAATGCTGTCTACATCCTTTTAGTCATTTTAAAATAATTTTAAGATCACACGCTTGGCATTAAAAGGGTTTTCATGAAAATCTCAATGTAATTAGGCCTGAAAATCACAAGAAATAGCTTATTATCTCAGGTTAGAACAAGATTGTCTGTAAACTCAGCATATAGGGAAGATAAGACAATATATAGACACAAAATAAGCTGAGTAGAAATCAAGAAGGGATAGATGTCGTGCAAGGACAGCGTTCTAACTCAGGACGTATCCTGCCATAACAATTTAAGTTTTGCAAAGTTAACACAAGAAAAAACGGGCCTGTCGATAAACTCATTTCCGGAGGTTAATCGACGGTGACTTATGACGTTTGGTTGTTTTATTTTGAAGTGAATTAATCTGATCTGTATTGTGGCCAATAAAAAACTAAATAACTAACACAAGCACAATGCATGCTGGAATTTTCAATGATCACTCTTATGAAAGATGCAAAACCGTCGAAGCAATTTTAGCCAATCGCATATCCGCATCAGTATCCAGCAACGATGTAAACTAAAGATTATGATTCCACAATATACATCAATTCTACAAATTTATGATGAATCGCTTGTGCATTTGCTTAAATGACAATCCGTGAGGACATTCCTGCTTTATTTCTGTCCGACGAACTGCACATATTGTCTGCGTTCATCTCACTCGAATTTAGATATCAATCAAGGTAAGCGGTATGCATTATCCAGACGCGAATGCGTTAACTCAGACTTACCTGAAACATTAAATTGACGTCTGATAAGGCAAAGGTTTGAACAAGAGCAGGTATGATATCCCCGTTGTCTAATTCTTGAGGAAGTGGCCCACAGCTCATTACCTTCAGTGGTAGTTTCCCTGTATCGATTTCCACGGGCTTGTTGGAGTCATCCGCCAGGCATCGAAGTGTGGCATAAATGTGGTAGCTATAAATATATATAAGAAACGGCAACAATACACGATGCTTACAAATTCCTAAAAAATATAATCACATTCAAAAGAGTACGGCTATGAATCTTTCCGAGATCATCCGTAAAACGGGCAAACAATCGAAAATTGACTCACTATTAAATTCTTTTTCCAAACTGGCAACACTCAAGACTGGTGTATAATCACGGCGCTTTTTAATGCCATGCAGGATAAATTATTTACTTTACTGCATAAGATTATTTAAAGGGAACATCCAACTGAGCATATTCCTCATTTTTTCTATATGTACGATAGGAATCACCAGACACACCATATTGAAAGACTTGTTCTATTTCACTTTTGATTTGTCATTTCTAAAAACGTCCACTGGTATTCAACTTCATACTGACCGACAACAGAATTAATAACTGCTAATATGTGCATCACTTCGTCCCCGTTTTATGATCGGACAGTAACACAGCGTTTGGGGGAGGTTCAAGATAGCCGTTTGCTGAATGAATAGAACCAAATGGCAGTAGACGTTCAACCAGTCGAACATAGTGAGAACAAGGGACAGCGATGGTCGGTGGAGAAGAACACATATATAAACGGACGGACAAAAGCAGAAGACTGCCACTTCACAAGCACTGATGATGTCACCTCGGCTGGTGATGAAACGTTTGCAAACAAATTGCCAAGCTCGACGAACAGGCGAAACGGAATTCAGTTCACCCGAGCTACGAGGACCAACTTTCAATACTTTGTCAACGTTCAACCATTTCTGTGGTCTCCCACACGGATGAAATTCCTTTTCTGACAAAGTACTATCCACAAGTTGGTTTAAAGTCCACCTTTAATTCAATTTGTACTATTTATATAAGTCGTGTAATGTATTTCTATGGAAATAATCCCAGCATTCAATACAGCAATATCAGGTCATACCTAGAAATTATGAAATCAAACACCCTGTTTATCGCGACGTATGATGTATGTGAAAAAAGGCTTTCAGAACAATCCACCATCAACCTGTTAAATTGAACATTCTGCAATCAAGGCAAAAACTACAATGCAGGCCGGATGAGCTATTATTCAATCCTGGAAGATTTCAGTATCGCTAATGCTAATACGTAGGAACGTCTAGCTATTTCATGTGGTTAAGAGGAGCTTGTGTTTAACAATAAGCTGTTTCCAGTGCTCAAAATTAGCGCACTTTGCATTCACAGACTCAAAAAGACAATGACGGATAGCTTTGATTGTTGAGTGAATGATTTGATTAGCCTATATCTTCCTAAATGCACATTGAGCTTCCCTTTGAGTTATTCCATTGGATGGAGGGGGTTTTGATCTGAGTGAATCATCTTGGTTTATGCTTACCGAGAAGTTGTAGTTATATGAGATGCAATTTTATGATATTATTGTCGTTTACGTCCCCGAATTAGTATAATAGTTATAGCAGCAGTGATGTTTTATTTTCTTCTGACAGATAACTGTTAGCCACCCCATCATGACAGTATACGTTGAGAATTATCCAAAGTAAAATAACACATTATTCCATTTAGTTATTTTTAAGAATATTGCTTCATTTTGCGTAACATATAATGATAAAATTTTCAGGAAAAGGAAAGCTCCTAATCAAAGGGCTTCCAGGCAACACAGAAAATTTGAAACTTCAGGCGGCGGTGTTGGGATTGGAACACATCATTTGGGTCGATAATTTAGTAAACTTTACCACTCGGACCAATTCTCCTCGAACCACTATACGACGTGTAATTCTCCAAGGTATTGCAGCATTCATCATATTGGAATTATTGCAGTTTCTAGCACTTTATGTAGACTGACATTCATTGGTATGATCTTCTGTTATTTTGACGCACATATTGCGTTGTTGAACACAATAAATACAACATACCCCTCATATTTTTGGAAATGATTCTTTGTAATTGGCCGTTTTTTAAAAGAATAGATTTTTTACTGCTCTTCAGATACTTTTGTTTGACCTTGAAATGTTTTGGCTCAGTTGTTTATAATCATTCCTAAGTCCCTAAGGGGGAATATTTTGAAACTGTTTTAATTCTTCTGTCCGAATTTCTCCCATTTCTCTGGTAAGACAGACGAAACTCACAATTCAATTGCTTGGAGTGCGTCAGCTTTGGTCTCAAGCCATTTGTGGTTTGAACGCTGTCTAAATAAATATCACTACCCAAAGGGTGAACACACTGGCAATAGGTGTAACTCATTTTATTCCATTATTGTGCTAGCATGCACGGGTACATCAGTACGAAAGGCGTGTGCCAAAAGAATGTCGGATAATTCGGCTACCTAATTGGTGATGAAATCATGCCTTCTAAACCTAATCCCAAATCCACCTGCTACCACACTATCCTCCTGAAGAAAGATAGTAATTATATGGAATATAACAACCCTGCTTACAGACACAAGAAGAAAATCAAAATCAAATAGATGGGATGAGAAGAGGAGCGGGCGCTGAAAGCCACTGTGCGTTATACATGTTCGAGTTTATCTTTATGAATTTCACTATAGTTCAGGGGGAAGTATGGTTTGCCACTGCCGATTTAGGTGTAGACTGAAAAATTAATTATGCAGGTGAGCCTGCATCAAAGGATTACCTGAAAGCCGATTGGTACAAGTGGATTCTACGTTCCCCAGTTCAGCACATTATCAAGAATTTGAAAAAAATGAAAGATAATATTAAATACACAATTGTGCTCATTAGTCCTATCAATAAAAGACTCACGAATGAAGTAACTCTGAAGCGTTTGGTGTGTTTGCATCCTGTCTCAGCGAGAATGATGGATGACTCGTGGAACTGATAGGGAATATACAAGGGATTGCATAATGACCCGGCTTGAACTCAACTGGGCCGTAATAGGGCAAGTAGCATGTCTCGTTGCGTTTGGCTGTTGCAGTGGCGGACTGCTGAAATTCGCTCAAGTCATAGGTAAATTTGCCTGGGGGTTCACGTTGTTCCTTTGTTGAATCGGAAGACATGCATGTATATTTGTGTTCTTCTCGTTTCTATTCGTGGTAATTTGTAGATGCGGATAATAATGAGGAGCAACGTGAATAAAAAGGACATTTGAAGTTTATTTACAGTTCGAATTTTGCATTTAACACACTATATCACGTTTATTGCTCACTAGACGTAACTCAGTTCATAACAAATTCGTTTTCAGGATATCATTAACTAGTCCAATATAGCACTCTTTCAGCGGTCAACAGATAACAAGATTCAGGGAACCAGCAAAAAAGTAAATCATGTGTGTGTCGGTGATATTGTAAGGGATGCATGGTAGTTCAACGTACACTGCAAATGTTATGTCAGATTTGAACTCTCATGCACTCAACAAAATATTGCCCTCACGCACGCATATATACATACAGGTGATCTGTTTCCTTGACTCATATGGTATTGTGATCTATGAAAGAGTGTTATATTTGGTTAGCAAATCATACACCAAAAATGAGTCTGTTGGTCAATTTGACTTCTCGATACAGTCCACGGGTACTCTCCAGTATGGAAACAAATTATTAAGTCAATATAGTTTTCAATAGTCCATGAGCATGCCAAGACAGTGGTACATACAACACTGCTTAAACCGGAGAGTATAGAGGGAGGGGAGATAAAGTATAAATCAGAGATTCCTGATGGTAATCACATGTCAAAGCCGGATTTGACATATGCTAGGTTTGACATGGTAATCATTAAGATCTTAGTATACAACTGCTTCATTACATTCAGACAATCTCTTACAGATGGTAGACCCTTTAAGGCACTTTTAAAGTTCTTCATCTCAAACCACCCACAGCTCTCTGTATCTGATAAACTTGGGAACAGCCTCATTCAAGCTTTTCTAGAAATAAAATTATTAGACCATCAATATGGATACCACAACGCTCTGTTTACCCAAATGCAAATTATCGTGGCTAATGCGTAAAAAGTTTTAGGTTTTTCCTCATGATTTACAACCGTGAGACATTGAGGGCCTTATCTTATGGAGTGAAGAGCATTTGGCTCAGATACCCTGTAAAAGAGGAGAGACTCTTGAGGAGAAAATTGCTGAATTCCGTAAAGCATGTGAATAACACAATGAATACCCAAAATGGTTCGTGGACATGCACAACAGATAATTCCAAACCAAAGTGACAATAAAGCAATAAAAACAATCTGCGTGAAGCTTGAAGTTGAATGCGATCACTTTTAACTGATGCGTGCCAATTTTTGAAGTTCACCCTTGACTGCACACTCTCGGTGCTGAACTCAGATTCATAGTTTCTACTCTTAGAAATAATCTGGAAAAACGTAAATGTGGCTGACTTGGTGAAATGGTTACCTTCTTCAACAGAAACAGGTGTAAGAACACTTACCATTTTTTCTTTTTAGTATTTTGAAGGTAAATTGTGTTGCTATGTATTGTAAACCCCAGTTTCTCAGTTGCTTACATTGTATTACACCAGCTAACATTTATGTTGCTCCCGACAAGCCTGCCTCGGATATTCGTTTATTGGTTGACATTTTCTATACATAACTTGCAACAGGTTTAGACCAATCTGTATTGATTCCGGCTGATGATTTTACTCATTTTTGACATCGTTTTTCAGCAACATTAGGCATGAAAAATCTTGTAGATTTTCCTAACGGACTCGTTGTCCAACTTGAGTACATCTTTGAAAACAACCTGGAAAACGTTTTTCATTATAAAACGGATCCTATAAGCAACTAAGAGCATTGCCTTATTTTTTGAATATTATTATTTGAATAGTTTCATCAACAAATGACCCAACTTACCTCCAGAGTCATTAGAGGGAGAAATCTCTTCCCTGAGAAGTCGGCTAGACTTGGAGGCGTGATTTTATCTACAGATTTTACCATCTTTCCGAATGCTACGAACTTTTCACTTCTGACCATCTTAACAATTCTCTTGAGACTTGACATGATCTGTGTTGTTCAGTGAAGACATTAAATATTTGTACAGACAGTTTCTCTTTTTCTCTTTTAAAACAGCTTCATTTTGATAGGGCTGGCGGGGGAGGCACTGTAAAACATCTATCATTTTAAATCGAACTATGAATGCAGGGCCTGAATGGGATGTGTATTGAAACATATGAGAAACAAGAACTTTCGCGATATGTGATCTGATGTAAAGCACCTCACGCAACAGCTCTTTTTTGATGCTGACAATTTATATCGTTAATTCACGAATATTTCTGTATTTAACTTCTTACCATCATCTATATCTGCTGCAGAGAACCATTCTGTCACCCCGGTATAAGTTTTTCAGATGACGAGTCCTCTGAATCTAACGATGCACATAGCCCTTATACATTATCCTCTCTCCTGTAGAAATTGTGCACCGATCAACTTGATTCACCTATTTTCGAGTTATTAAGTTTGTGCACGTCATCTGGAAGTAACCATCATTATTGAGGAGCTGACGAATAACACCAATCCCTCGAAGGCGTCTTCCAAGTACTGACTGATTACTTGTACATCAGTACTTTGAAAGCGGTCCTATTACATTGAAACATTTGCATCTGATTTTGTAGATTTTCTTTCTGCGTTTCAGAGTTAAGTAGCTCGGTGGTTTCCATAATGTAATCCTTAAAATTGTGATAGCCTTCATTCTTTCACACTGATAGTACTGTTTCCCACATTTTACCCAGCTTAAAGAAAGAAACGTTATTCTTTTTTTCCAGATCTCTTAATCTGCCTCCCGTTTTAGTGGCACTGCAAGGCCCGTGTTGGTTGATTCATTATGTGAAAACATTTTGATTAAATGGATAGATTTATCAGCCAAATACTGTCGAATGCAGTACACTGCTTGCACGCCCATCTCCATAAATGTTCATGTCATAAGAGTACGGGTTTCAAATTTAGGATTCATCGTGCACGTATCACCACATACGAAAATAGCGTCAATCCTTATTTTGCCCGTATCTTGGTAAATTCAGAAACTATAATTACTGATTGGCAAAACCACTTATCAAATAAGGTTTTTACCACATTCATTCTTTCATTCATTAGAAGTTTAATGTATACATTTTCTTAACTGCAACTTATCGAAAGTACCAAACATTCATTTCCTTGGGTGCTCAAAGCTTAACTTGACTTGTCAGTATTCGCAATGTAATACATGAGGTCTTTATTGAAGTGTTGCTGTTTGGATTACGTTTCTCGATATTGGGAACACAAAAATCGTGGGCACAATCAAACCATTTGTCGTGAAGTCGATCTTTCATCTCAAATTTTAGTGTTGTGTGTTTTTGTTTTTACACGTTCCCTTATCTGTACCTCATCAACTCAATGTATTTCATATATATATA